GTGAGAAAAGTTCTTAAAGGACAATGAGTAAGAATTTTCAGCTATGTCTGTTTTACGATAGTATTGAAGGTTAACTAGCACCATTTGGAAGTTGTTCTTTTTCAACCTCCGTTTCAATTGTGCAGCTGTCCTGAAGCTGCAAAGTTTTAAACAGAAGATCATTTTTCAGAGAAGCTGTACACAGAAGGTCATAATACAAACCAGGCAACCAGATTCTCCTACCATCTAACTAACAAGGAAGTCAGAAAAGGCAGTTCTTTATTACAAATGCTTTACACCGAGGTTAGACAGGGGAAGAGTAGCTTAGAAAAGTAGTGTTCTTTGAAAGAGATACGGATGTTGCTTCCAATTTATGAAATTATAACACTTGTCAACTAGAATGATTTTTGTCATAAGAAACATACTGTTAACAAATCATAGATCTGACTAAAAGGACATCCGATTGATGCTTTATTTTATATAAACACTGACCTAAAAAGTGGACCCCTAAAAACCTGATATCAAAAGACACAGAGATAGATCCCAAGTCAGAATGTTAGAATCAAAGACTAGAAACAACATTTCCAAATAAACAAAAGACTCCTGCATAACTACGTTATTTATGTAGTCTATGCAAATACAACCTTACACTTGTGTTCACTGTGTTTACTTCAAGTCACTTTTCTTCTCTCTAAAAAAGACAAAGTGACAGAAAAGAGTGGAAAACAAAAAAGTTTCTGCATTAAACAAAACCAACTTTTATCAACAAACATACTTGAAAAAAATATTTGCTTGTACAGAAAACCTATAAAATTATCTGGTTCAATACCTAAATGGGTTATGGATATTCCCTACAGTCTCCATCCATTTTTGGTGAATTCAAATTGTCTTGAAGAGTTATCCTCTTATTACTACATAGGAACCTCCAAGTATTTGTATTTTTGACAATCTTAAGTAAAAAAGTATGCTCTATAAACATTCAGTTTAACATATTTGCCATATTGTTGCTTAAACAAGATTACCACAAAGAAACATAGCAACTTACCTGCGACACTGCCGAGCATTCAGGAGCTCCCGTAATTCAGATGATCTAACTCTTCTTCTTGCCCTCTACTTTCTAAAGCCATTGCCTACCCAAATACTTTATGTTAGTGCTATGATACTAACAGGACACATGCTAATGTTTAATAAATGGATAAAACTCTTCCAATATGGTATTATTTCCAATGGACAAAAACTCTTTCAATTGTATAAAGTTCTGTGTTTGTAACCATTTTAGGAATTTCCAAGATACAAAACCATACTCTGTGTTTTTTGTCATTTGTAAGACAAAAAAAAAAAAAAAAAAAAGAATAGGCCTTATACTGAGAAGCAGTGAAATAAAAATTAAGCACATTCCCTACCAACTCATAAGCAGCATGGGTGGACCACAATATTCCATAATAAAAAAGAAACACAATACAAATTTCATCTCAGAGTGTTGCTGAGAGTGGCTGAAAACGTAATTCCAGGGTTCTACATTTCTTCACACACAATGATGTTTTCAAAGATCATCACCAGTTCTCTTAGATATTGAACCAGATATTGAACCAGAGCTCATGGTACAAGAAATGCAGAGGGTATTTTCCCCCCAGAATACTTAAGGACAGAAAAGAAAGGAAAAAATGCTTGGGTGCATTCAGTTCTTCCTCTATTCAGGAAATGTTCCCAACAAAAAAAATATATCCTTTAGAAATGTTCAAGGAATGTTATTTTTCCTTTTCTTTAAATATAATGGAAATAAAAAATATACCAGGAAAATAAAAAATGAACATCAATGGCATATTTTATGAAAGATATATATACACAGTATTCATTCTATAAACATGAGGGCACGATTTCTTATCATAAACAAAGTAAGATTTGATTTTCAGGATATGTTCCTTACTTAAAATCCCACAAATAAAAACTTATCCATGAAAAACTAGAGATATTTTGAATACTAAAGTCCTTTATTCAACAACACAGAAATTTCACAAAAACAACTTTACTGGGCAAATTGAATGTGAGTTTTAAAAGTTTTTTTATACAGTTTTGTACATGCCCCATAAGTGATTTTCTTTAATAAATACACTGTTTTCCAAAACTGCTTTTTAAATAATTGCACAAGCATACATACACCTTACACAAATATCTATTAGAAAATTTAATAGATAACTGCACAGTTCAGAATAGGAGAACACCGTGAAAGGAGTACATTGTGTGGCCCAGGTTCTTGGAATATCTCTGACTATTTGGCAATTGTAAAAATGGAATCCCTCCTAACATAGTAGCTGTCTTTTATTCACTAGGAATACAGATCTCAGTGTGAAACGCCAAGTTTAATAAAAACAAAATCTGAAACATTTAGCAGTTACATGAGAACCAACTGTTTGATATCACTGTGACTCTAACCATGATCAAAGACCCACTACAGCTTTTTGCTGAACATCTCTGACCCTCACTAGTATGTTCATTTAACTGCTCTCCTTTTTCATTATTTGATTACAGATACTATCAGCTTAAAGACTTTATATGCTTTAGCATTAATTGCACAACTTGCATGCCAGGGGTTCTGAATAAAAGTAAGGGAATATTCCTTTCTTTTAGTGATTGCTTTATATTCATTCATAGCAAGCCCATCATCTCTTGCTCCCTCTAATTGTATTCAGAATAAGAAATTTGTATGTTGGAGATTAAGCAGGAGACATTTTTATATACTCTTACATTGGGGGATGACTATTAACATTTTCTCTCCTAAGAGTAGATACATTTCTACTTTGTAGAACAAGCCCCCACTTGTACACAGACAGGCAGAGGTCATCGGAAAATCATTTGGTCTGAAGATGTGGAAAGAGAGGGATTTGCAATTATGATATTCTTGTGATCAGCTGAAAGGACACTGGCTCATGGCACCATGTCCTGACATCACAAGTATTTTCCATGCTCTCCCCAAATTCTGGCAGGGTACGGCATCTCCTTGACAACATCTAGAGGAGACAAGACCCTGTGTATATGGAAGTCTCTGACAAAACATTTTATTCAGCTTGTCTGATATATAATTTGTACATTGGATGACAGTCTAGACAACCCATTGTATAGACAGTCCACACAATCCTTATTTTGAATGTTCTTGATACTGAATATGAAACACACAGTAAGGAATTTTTAAAAGCTACTTTTCATTGGTATTTTAGAATTATGGAAAATGCAAACCTTCAAACCACTGCCTTAGGATTACAATGATATGCTTTACAAGTTCTCAGTACATGGACATGTGGAGAAAAACTAAAGGAAGGCCAGAAGAATAATATCTTCAGCATCACCAATGAGAACTTTGTATTCACCATACATTACATAAAGAGAGTTTAATCAAAACCATTAAAAAGTGGGTGGTGTAAAAGAAGAATGTCAATAAGAGAAACATAAGAGAATGTCTTAAAAGCTACACTTTCCCATTTCAGTAATCAACAAATTTTCTTTCATTAAAAAAAAATGAATTGACAGGTAAAACACCACATTTTACAATATACAGATTCATTAGTTCTTTTTAAAAAGCAAACAACAAAAACACATCAAGACATGCACTACTAGAATGTATTTTAGACTCCAGGACGTTGCTGTGTGGTCTTTGTTACCGTACGTCTAAAATAGCCTGAACAGACGTTTGCTTCACTTCTGAAACAATCGTCATTTTCCAAAAAGCAAGGCAAGCTTACCTTTCAAGTGTGAAAGTAAGTTTTCACTTACTTGTAATTGGCATATTGGTAAACAACCCAAAACTGTAAAATTAAAATGGAATAAGAAAGAACTCATATAGCTCTCATTGGTCCTATAGCAGAAACAGAAATTCTAACTAGAAACCCTCAAAGGAATATACAAGCAGAACATTATCTCCGTACAGCATACAGCACATTTTAGCTGGTTATCACTTAGGTCTCACCTCTAAGTATGGAGAGGTGTGGTACATAATGAATCGATCTCCAACTGTAGGCCATATAGTCCTATGCTAGGCGCGTTCAGTTACACCTGCTCTTCTCATCAGCACTTGTACCGCTCTATCCTTTCCCCAATGATGAAGTGCTGCTCTGCTTAAATTGTTTTTTTTCTGGGATACCATTTCCCATTCAAACTATAACTAGATTTTCAGAAATATTCACCTGATAATCTTTCCCAAAGCTTTCAAACCCCTTTCACTGTTCCATCACTCTTTCTCTCCCCTTAAATTCTTTCTCTTCTCATGATCCATTCTGCTACCTTCTTCAGCAGGCTAATGGACACAGTGGTCTGAAACAATTGGCTAGTGGATAAGGAACAAAAAGCTGCAGGAACATATCCACTTTCACAGTCTGTGTGCTTTTGCTAAACTCTGTTCTATCCCTTAAACTGAGAATAGATTTTATAATCGGGAATAAAATAAAATGCAATCATATTTGTCCTAATGGGACAGCCTTAGGAACCTGCCATGGGAAAACTGTATCCTACATGAAAAGGTAGCCCAGGTTTTGTGGAGCATTAGAACTCTGCGTGTATGCGCGTGCGTGCTGGTGATGGTGGTGGGGGTATCTTACATTACCTAATTCCACAGACTGTGGCCCTACCTTCTCAGGAATTGAAAGCATCAAGTAACAAGAACAGAACTGGCAACAAGGGACCATTCCACTGAAAAACTAGGGGAAGACTACTGGTCCAACTGGGAGGCTATGAAAAAGTAAGATTAAAAAGAGATTAAAAAAAAATAAAACAGTTCATTCTTATCAATGGGTTCAATTCTTCTACACTGAAAATATATCCAGCCATGCCTTAAGGCAGAAGGCCTCAGGATATTCAAGTGTTAAAATAAAAAGTTACCACACATGGAATTAAAACTTTTGGATACTCTTTATTCAATTTTATTCTTCCTACCAAAAAAATAAGTAAAAAATAAACAAAGAAACATAAAACATTTATACAGCTCATGTTGGGCTGGGAAAAAAAAAAGTCAGTCATGGATTTCACCCCCTAAGATAGGATACTTTATTCTTTAGCCTAGAAAACACTGCTTTTATTTTTTATTTTTAAATCATACAACAGATTTTGCATTTTCCGACTACTCTGAGTACTCCGCCTTACAGTGCAACCCAAGACAAATCAACTACACTAAGTATTTGGGAGGTATACCCTTCTGTACAGCTCGTTTGTAAGCAATGCAGGTGCATAACCACTACTCTAATATAGTGCTCGAAGATTCATTGAGACTTTCATAACACCTTCCCCTCTTGCAACAAGACAACTGAAGGTCATCGCTGGATGCATCGTAATCTTTCAGTCTTGAAAAACTTGGCATCAAGTCTCTACGGAAAGATGCGTGGCAAAATGGTGCCAGTGCTGTGGCTGCTTCTAGAAACAACTGGCAAAAAATATTTAAAGCTAAAATTTATTGCTCCCGATTTAACTTGCAGAACCATACTGTTGTGTACAAACTGTTAATCTCCATAGATGCTCAGACATGATTGTCTCCTTGTGTCTAAACACACAAAATACAAGCTGCTATCTGTACAGTTTACAGTACTGAAACACATATATTTGAAAATGAAGTATAGATATGTACTTTGCAAAGATACATGATTTTACAGTAGGGGTTTACCCAAACTTATTTTTTTTTACAGCCACTTTCAAAATAGACAACAACTTCACTAGTATAGCTAAATTACATCAAAGAAAGAATCAGTGTATTGAAAGTAAATAGACTGGCCGATTCCCCAAGATCCCACGTTATTTTTATGTGTCTTTTTTCTTTTCCTCTTTTTTTTTTTTTTTTTTTTGAAGAAACCCCTATACATAAAATGAAAATAATTTCTGGATATTTTCTTCAGTGGTGGACTAAGCAGTTTCTTAAAACAAGACATTAGTTTGCCCTTCATTTCCAAATGCCTTGAAAATAAGATCTACTACTGCTTTAAAAGAACCATCGGAATGCTTCAGCGCTGGGAACAGGTGTTCTCTATAAAAAAAGAGCAAGAAAACAAGTTAAGCTTTCTTTCTGTGCCAATATAAAATTAGACTTTTCTCCTTTACACTTTGGTAATATTTTTAGTTACCAATATACCACATAATGACATCTATTTCCACATTTAATAAAAAGAAATGCTGGATCTGAGAACATTACAAAAACAAGAATCATCGACTTAATGGTAATTTACTGAATATAGTGATTAAAACATGTTGGTTTAAAGTATACAGGAAATGCAGCCTGAAACATCCATAGATTACAATCAGAATAAAAGGAAGGTTGAAGCTCCTAACCAAATAGCATGAAGACCAGTCAGCACAGGTATCAAAAATCTGGATCTGCCTCCCGGCATGCCTCTATCACCTCAGTGTCAGGAGCAGAGACACACAGATGGCACCGCCACATCATGAGGAAAGGAAAGGATTCACTTCTGCTGCTTAGCTTTCTAGAGTGACTGTTTTTTAAGACAGGTCATCTATCTGGTTTTGTATTTCAAAGGACATAATCAGCTACGCACACAGCCTTCAGTGTGAGTGAGAGTGTTTGCTGTAATTGTTTAACTGCAATTGACTTACCCTGCCTCCTAGCACACTAACAAAAATGCAAGCAAAAAGTTAAACCAGAATTTAGCCCCTGTTTTTATATACAAAATCCCAATATATACACACATAGGCTACCTATGTGAAGCTGAGGATCAGAGTTCAGGAAAGTAATTTCTTTTCTCTGCAGATTTTTTTATGACAGGCTAACAATAAATATCACACTCATATTACCTCTATCATTTATCAATTACTAAATGTTAAACATGGTTCTATGAATAATCTAACGAGAACTCTACTGACAAAACGTATCACTATTTTAAAGTAAGCGAGTTTTTATTTTTAACAAGTCAATGTATGTATGAAGAGAATTGATACTGTCAATGATACTCAGTGGGGCTTAACTCTCCTTTTGTGCCATCAAAATATTATCAGTGGTTTTCCAAAGGAGTGATAAGCTAGTATCCAAAAGTACAAAGAATCTTTTCAACAAAAAGCTTGTAGGTTACTATGAGGTATTTCGGGTAGGCAACAGGTAGTTAAGCCTGAATTTTCATCTGTGTATCAACATTCTAATAATTCAGCATGTCATATTCTTCCTTAGAATGCCTCGTCCTATAGTCTGCATATATTCTAAAGATATACATACATAATCACATGAATACACTGTGAAGGTACACAAGAAACAATAAGTCACGAATAAATTTTCCTATGAAGGCTAATGAAAGAGAGTTGATTTTATTTCTTAGACCAGTTCAACAAGTCTGTGTAGATACTATAGCAAGATGGCTGCTAAGGATTAAACAAGTATATACACTGCATGCCACCAATACACTTCTATTGAGTAGGTATACAAAAATTCATGAACATGAACACATAATTATATACCTTGTAAATACATCTTAGGAGAATGTTAACAGCGCTGAAATTTATTTTCAAAAATACACTGAAAATTCTACTGCAAGCATTCTAATTGAGATTAGCTTTTATTTGCCTCCTCAGACATGAGTTATTTGCTTGACGTTGTCCTATTGTAATAACGTCATCTAAAAAAAGTATTAATTGATTAAGATGTCAATTAGAAATTCAAATGAATAAAATAACCATTTCGGAAAGCAAACCTGCTTTTCACTATCTGCACTAAAAGAAATTTTTTAGAAAGTCCTCACAACCAGTACAATAAATTTCAAAGTAACTGAATTAAAAACAAATCATGGATATGCTATAATTTACCTAAGTTTGCACATAGGTATATACAAAAAATGTAACTTCTGAAGTGTTTTCTAAAAGTACAAACAAAATGTTCCATAATCTCATAAAAATAGTACTGATCTTATTAATATTTTACTCCTTATCCATGATGGCTTAATCAGTTTTCTGCTTTCCAGCTTAGTTGGCATAACTGAATCTTTTGATTCTGTTAGTGAAAAAAACCTTCTACTACTTTCTAGCTTTACCGGTTTGAGGGATAAATGTAATGATGATATATCCTGATTCTATTTTTTAAATCATTATTAAAGTAACTCTATAAAGTAATAAGAAACATGACATACTCATTCTAATATTCATGCGTTACACACACACACACACACACACACACACAAGCAGTAAATGAAAACTTAAAAGTTTATACCAGATGCTAACTTGCTGGCTGATGCCAACTAAGAATAAATTTTATATAAGCACGCACACTTATATAAATGTAGTCATTTTTAACGAGGTAAGTTAGATCCAAGCATATCCATGCAATTATAGATCTATGGTTACAAATTCACATATGAAAAATAAACATGTGCATATATATTCATATATATGCACATTTATGTGTATATGTATGACACGGAGATGCCAACTTACTCTCAGATGCCAACTGGAAACAAGATTATAAATATATACTTATGTAATCTTGTATCTTGATAAACATATATGTTTATGAAGATAAACAGCAAAAATATATGGAGTACATTTTTTTAAATGAGATGAAGTCCTTATGTCTTCAATAGACTTTTAAATCTCTTTTCCAACGTTCTGCTCTTCCTGTGCCCCTTTCAGCTACTCAATTTTATTTGCCGCATTTAGGAGAAGCACGCTTACAAAATGCCAGCTAGGGTCAAAAGTCACTGTTGTGTGGAAAAAAATAGTCACTTCTCAATGCATGTTAGCACTAAAAATCCACCTCTAAAAACTAGGCAAACACGAGGGAAGCTCAGCACAGATTTTTCTACACTAACACGATCTGTCATAGATATTCTGTGATATTACTATGTATTTTAATATTACTATGCCTATATTGAGGCCAGTACGTATTCCCAGGTACAAGTACATGGACAACTGGTTGCAGGGAAAATGAGAATGCAAACTGGGAAGGCTCTTCTAAAAACTGCTCATTCTTTGTACTAAGATCTTGGAGGTCCAGAGGCCAAGAAATGTTTAGTTGGAAAATCACATAAAATAAAATATGTGGAAAAAAGAAAAAGAAAAAGAAAACTACTGATGCATTCATTAGAACAAGTAATCAAGGCATCTACCAGAAATTTGTAGTAAGCTTTCTCTAACAGGCTTATTACAGGGTTAAAAAGTGACAAAACTCAGTGTCCTACGGTGCACATGAAACAGTTCTATGTCCAATCTTTTCCCAATTTTCATCAGGCTCCCTGGAAATTTACTTCAGGCCTGGACTGGGCTCTTCTAGCCAAGCTGGGTGAAGGAACACTGTTTTGATAGGTAAAATATTAGGTTAAAGTATAGATTTTTAATTCTGTCTGCACTAATTTGGGGACACATCTTTACTAACTGTCCACGAATGAGGTCATCTTTATAGGAAAACTTCGATAGTAAATGGTGCAGGAACTCAGCATACCAACACGGGGGATTAAATACCCTGACCAGCTACCTTCAAGTTATATAAATTCAAAAGCCCAGCTGGGGAATCATACTCCTGATGAGATTATAGGGACTTTCTGAATCTCAGCGATGCTTGCAGGGGACCTTTATCCTGAGTGACAGGAAAGCCAGATTCCACTGGAAGAGAAGGGGTGGGGAAGTAAAAAACAGAATTTAGTTGATCAGCGTTGTTTAAGGCAGCCCTCACTGTTCCCGCAGGTGCGAACACTGGCAAACAGCAGCCTTGCTCCCAGGAGACCCGTGGGGGAACCTGCAGCCCCAGTTCTCTTTCTGGTACTGTTGAAAAGCACCGTGTTGCAGAGAATTCATCCCTACACAAGCCAGATACCGACGACCTTCAAGTTCATAGGCATGTCTTCTGTTTTTCCCCTGAACAACTTTTAAAAGAAAAGGAATTTCCTTAAATAATATAATGATATAATCCAAGTCCAAATACATTTTACATTTACTATTTAAAAATATATGAAAAGTTATTGATGTCTTTGGCAGATTTGTGTTTCAGTTTGTTCTAAACTACCTAAAATAATTAAAAATCCCCAAAGGCTGCCACCTTAAGAATTTGCATGTGTTTTATGGAAGTAGTGTCCTCAGGTGGAGGACGTATCTACATAGTATTGTTGGAAATATATCAAGTCCAATAAAAATTCAGCTCATAAAAGCTAAAAATGGGCATCTATGACTCTGCTACATAGGAAGATATGCAGATTGGCCATTCGTATCTACTAATAAAATACAATATGTAAAATATTCTCAACCCCACACATAAAACTAATCTCTTTTAATAAAGGTAGACTTGGAGTCCCAAAGAGAAAATTAATAACTTTTGATGCTGAAATTTACCTCAGACTGCATACAATTTTAAATTGAGAGAATGATTATGACATTAGAAATGTCTATGACTAAAGTGAAATATATTTTTCCGACTTATTTATATATTTCCCAATCCAAAAATTTCAGTGATTTACCCAGGCCTTCAGAATTCTAATGTGAAACAAGATGAGTCTCATATAATGATTTCCAAATGGAAGTCAGTACTTTGGGGTACAAATAACTTCCTGTTTTCCCATTTATAATTAATTAAAGAAATGTAAGTCATCGAATCATTTCCTGTTTGCCATATGATATGAATATTTTTTGAAACAAAATCAATTTCAAGCTGTAGTTAGCCATTACAATCTCTTATAAAATCTTCTGAAATACTGTTTTAACTGTGAGGAATCCCACTATAAGTTTCTTAGACTCCTGGACATCTGTGGCCTTGATGTTGGAAACCCTCACTATGTTTGAGTCTACCTTTTTTTTTTTGGCTGTAGCCGTAGTCATTATTGTTTGGTGGGCCTGGGCTGGATTCGGACCCGCCAGCTCAGTGTATATGGCTGGCACCTTAGCCGCCTGAGCCACACACTAGAATTTGAAGACCTGAATGAACCATGGAAATTTTATAATATAAAATGAATAAATAAGACAAAAGGTACTAGGCCCCATTGTTTCCCTTTAGCTATTCAGTGATGTTTTTTCCAGTTTCACATGAAACTTTCAAGATTTGGG